GATTCCTGGTACCAAAAATATATATATATATTTGTATATATATATATATATTTTTTTTTGAAAGTGGCTCTTCTGAAAAATTGATATTCTGAAAATAAACCCATTTTTAGCTTTATCACATCTGTCTGTAATGTAATGTCTGTAATGTAAATTGCAGCAGCTAGATGGTTAGTTCCATTCATCCAAAAGGATTTGGTGCTCATTCATATATGACAAAAAATATGTCAGGTAGCTTCCTGAATAAACACTGCTATAGAAATTGATGTAGACTTTTTTGTTTATATTTTTATAGCTACAATCAACCTAAATTCAGCTAATGATAGCTGGTTTGGCAGCTTGAAGGACACTATTCAGAATCAGCAAGGACAAGCAGTGTGGGTCTCTGAAGGAAAGGTATGTGGCCTAGATATGCTGCTATGAGGTGAGAGTCCGTGTGCTGAATCTTTCCTCAAGAGAGCAGTGAATGTTGGAAGTGATACGAACATATGTATTCATCAAGTCTGAAATTTTATAAATTTTCCAACAAAGTGATAAAATGAAGGCACTTATGATGAATTCAATCCTACATTCACTTCCCTTTTACTTTAACGTAGTAACTAGTGTTGTATTCCAAGTCCACTAATCAGAGCTTACAAGATCTTGTGCTGAGCTCCACAGCTTACTAAGAACATGGGAAACTTAGAGTGGAGATGAGAGGCAAGGTTGAGGACCATGGAGAATACAGTTAATATGAAAAAGAAAAGCTAATGGAGTCGGAGCTGTTTACTTTAGAAGAGAGGTTGGCAGCAAATGGGCCATAGTTGTAGGAGTTTGAGTAGGTGACATGACAGCGTCTAAGCCTCTAACGTTGGAAAGCATCTCACCTGTAGACATAGTTTACACTCTGCCATGCTGTCGGGAGACAGGTGAAACATCGCAGAAGCCGTGGTCCCTTTGGTGCTGGTGTCCTGTGCTCCAGCTGAATTGAGATAGATTGTGAGCCTTTATAGTGATGCTTTTGTTACAGAATTGATGAAGCCTTGCTCTCTGGGGACTGGATGGTTAGTCCAGGTATCCAGCACCCACAAAGTGCTGACGGTCTGCAAGGCTTTGTGCTAGCTTGCTTCTACCCTTGGAGACCTGAGTATTATAGATGAGTAGATGCATGCATAGCAGAAGGCAGTGTGCATTTATTCTTAGGAGAGAGGTACTAAGAGAAAAGGCTGGGAAGCAGCTGGATTATGGAGGAAAAGCACCACAATTAGTGAAAGCACGGATCAGTTGTGGAATACAGAATGAATAGTAGCAGTGATAGAGACTCCCTGATTTGGGTACCTCCGCAAAAATTAGCGTAGTGTCTGCATTGGCTCAAAGCCAAGTGATTTAAGGAAACTAAAGGTATCTTCCCTGTGTAGCACATGTCAAGGTTTTGGACCCTTGGCCGTGCCCTTGGGAGTCCTTTTGAGTCCCCTCTCCCAAGGGCCATGAGAGACCCCACTGACCCTCCAAAACAAATTCCTCCAGATGGAAGGGATGGATGATGACCCCGACGACCACATGTCCTACTTAACTGCCTTGGGTGCGGACTATTTGAGTTGCGACAGCCGCCTCATCAGTGACTTTGAAGACACCGACGGCGAAGGAGGTGCCTACACTGACAATGAGCTGGATGAGCCAGCTGAGGAGCCGCTGGTGTCTTCCATCACCCGCTCCTCGGAGCCGGTGCAGCATGAGGAGGTGAGGGGAGGCATGGCACAGGTTTCAAGGCCCCGGGCAGGAGAAGGAGATTCTGGTATTTCATTTGCATGTTCTGAACAACTATTAACTCAGGGCGCTATGAAGGGATTCTTAAGGGTTGGAGCAGATGACAGCCAGGGAGTCTTCGCTCTAGAGTCAGCACTTACATGGTTGTAGCAGTGGTCCGTGAGAAAGTGGGACCAGAAAGAAGCTCAGTGATCAGCACTCCCCTGTCCTCAAGCATGATGGGTAAACAAAATGGCTGTTAACACCAGCTGTCCAAATTACAAGTGGAACATTCTGTTTTAAATATGACATGGCTGTATTTACTTGTAACCTTTGATTAGATCTCTCTGTCTGTACTCTTAGGAGTCCTTGCTTTTCTTCTCCACTCTACCTTTAACCTTCTAATCTTGCTGCAGCGCCTGAGTGTTTCCCCATCAGTTTCCTTCTCTCTTGTATTTCAATTTTGTGATTGACTTTATGATCAATTATGCATCTAATCACATGTGTTATGCATCCACTAGCCAGTTATTTGACAACTTATGCAGTCCTAGAAATTACATCAGTGGTTGGTGGTTCGTTAATTGCACCTTGGAGAACGTTGGAATAATGAACTTTGTAGATGAGCTTATCCAAATATATGTGGATAATTATTGCTGTGGACTTCCCTTTAGCAATTTAATTGGTGCAGGGTATATTTTTCTTTCTGAAATACAAATACTAAAAAAAAAAAAAAAGAAAGATGGAGGAAGAGACCCCACCCACAGAAAAATAATTACTGTATACTGGTAGATACAAATAAATTAAACGCTAAAAGTCCACAGAGATAGATGCTTAGACTATTTATAGTTACTAATAGCACAAGAAATATTAGACTCTAAGAAGGTGTTTTTGTTTTGTTTTTAAATTATACTTCAAAGGCGAACCCTGCTATGCTAGATGTACCCAGTTCTTATAAAATGTGTCCTAAGCATTTGCTAGAAGGAGGGCTAGGAAGGAGCGCTAGCTCAGCACCTCCACTCTGAACTCTTGCAAGTTTGTAGAACTCCAGCCAAGCAGATGAGTGCTCTTTTCTCTCTGCTCAGATTTCTTGTCGTGAATGAACCTTTATGTTTTGTAGAGCATAAGGAAACTCAGCCCAGACCCACCAGCTCAGATGAGGAGGGCTGCTAGCAGAGATCAACTTAGGGACAGTAGCCCACCCCCAGCATTCAAGCCAGAGCCGCCCAAGGTATGTGGTTGGGAAGCCTCAGAATGGGAAGGAGGACACAGGTGTCTTGAGCCCATGGATCGCCCAGCAGAACCATCTTCAATGGTATTGGATTATAGTCTTGACTCACCGTGTTCTCTGTTAGAGCCTCTCTTTTGGGCCTTTGGGTGAACCCAAAAATTACAGAAAGGCAAAAAGTTAAGAGAGAAGGACAGTAGAGAGAGAGTGTACAATTTTAGGACTCTTAGAGTTTATTTTATTCACTTTCTTATAGAAAACTAGTATTATCCAAATGCTGCATGCCCAGAATCACCACTCTCAGAATCTGTTTTTCTTTTTCTGTCCAAGTTTCTACCCACAACCTGAATTGGATAAATCAGAAAATCCTTACTATTGATTACTAAAGAAAACAATCATTGCCATGCTTTAGAATGTCTCTCATGAAAGCAACTTAATTTGTCTGTTACCCAGAGCAGGATGGGCCTAAAGACCCCAGGGAGTTATGTCATATGATTCTTCTGTCATCATTGGAATCACAGCTGTAACTATAGGCTTTTCCTTAAACGCCAATGAAATATCTATCTCTATTTAACTCAACAATTTGGAGGAAAAGCAAACAGTAATTGTATGAGCCGTCAGGAGTAATTACTGACCTTGTACACTGAAAATTTGCAAGCAGGGCTAGAATCAAAGTGTGAAGGAGAAATGGCTTTGGCGTGCTGCGCTGTCCTCCCGGCCTGTCACCAGGCTCATTCCTCTCTGGCTGGGCACAGGTCTCGTCCTTGGGCCGGGGCCACGGCCCATACCCTTCTCCAGCATGACCCCTGAAGCCATTCTCTCAGTCCTAAAGCTGATTTATTTTGAGTTTTTGGCCAAGATTCTAATCTCCTCTAGTACGAAATTAACTCAAAGTCTAGTCTACCTCTAACAATGCTAGCTCTTCCAGTACTCTCTAGTTTTGCAAGAGCTCTTGATCCTCCTTTTTTTTTTTGGTACTGAGGTTCAAACTCAAGACCTTGAGCTTTTGCGAAGCAGGTGGTGGCACCACTGAGCTAAATTCCTGGCCCTTGATCCTCTTTTCTAGGAGGGAAATTGGGCTCAGCATGCCTGACCAGTAGCTGTTTGTCCCGCCATCTTTGAATCTTTGTCAGAATGGTATTTATCCATCGTCTTTGGAAACTGATCAGGAAATAGAGTGTGTTAAATTACTAATATAGACTTGTAAATAACTGAAAGCCCAAGGTTAAAAAAAATGTCATTTTGTTCTTTATAGGCGAAAACCCAGAGCAGAGAAGAATCCTGTGACTTCTCCAAATCCCAGGAATACAAGCCAAATCCCTCTGCCATGGTTGGGAGTGAAATTACTGGGCCAGCTGCGAAAGGTGGTCCTCCCCCCGTTGCGGCGAAACCCTCCTTCGGACGGTCCTTCCAGAAGCCCTCCGTTCCCAGCCCGCCCCCTGAGAGTGAGGCGGTTGGGGAGAACGTCGTGGAGGAGCAGGAGGGCGCTCCCAAGTCAGTCCTGGGCAGAGTCAAAATATTTGAGAAGATGGACCATAAGGCCAGACTACAGAGAATGCAAGAGCTCCAGGACGCCCAGAATGCACAGGTAGTTGTTGTCGAGCTGCTACAGCATCTTAGTGTGTGATAAGAAGACTCTGAAGTAGGTTTGATTTCAGTATGTTGGCACACAGGCCTTTTTCACTGCCACAGAAATGACAGGGAGGCAACAGGCACAGCCCTGTGTGTGTCACTTCAGGTTGCCAGCTGTCGGCACATCCTTTTTTTCTCCCAGTTGAGAAATATGAGTCAGAATCTACTGTCCTGCTCTTCATACTGTGTAGGGGTTTTGAGTGAGGGAGTATGATGAGAGAATCCGTGCCGCTCAGAAGTCATTTTACCTAGTGTGCTCTTCGTGCTTCTTTGGTAACGAAGTCTTTGCTTGCTCCCGGGTTTGCCACAGAATCCTGATGTACTTTGGGTGCTAAAATGAAAAGGTCCGTGGATTGTTTTGATCTGTTTTGAGTTTTTGTTCTGTGTGTGCATACAACCTTTTGACACCAAAGACGAATTTAAATGAAGCCGGGCATGACGGCACATGCCTGGAATCCCAGACTAGGAAAGCTGAGGCAGGAGGATCCCTAGGAATTTGAGGCCAGCCTGGGCAACATATGAGACCCCTTTTTTGATGTAAAGGTTTGTGGAGCATATTCTGCCACCCAGAAGGCAAACGTTGTTGTCATTCAAGTATGTCACAACAGTGGTGCTTCTGAGCTTTTTTTTTTTGTATTTTTTATTGCGATAAAACATGCTTAATATAAATTTTACTGTTTTCAAGTGCATCGTTCAGTGACATTGAAGTGCATTCACATTGCTGTGCAGCTGTTACATTGTCCATTCCCAGAACTTTGGCATCCTCTCAGAGCAAAACTCTGCCCTTCATGCAGTAGCACCTCATTGTTTCGTCCCTCCAGCCCTTGGCAGCTACCATTTTACTTGAGGATATGGCAAGTTAGGAATCATATATAAGTGGAGCTATACAATATTTGTTCGTTTTTGTGCTGGCCTCAAGGTTCATGCATATTACAGCATTTATAAGGATTACATTTCCTTTAAAGGTCTTCACTATTTGGCATGTACCACCGGGTACCAGTTGCGTGTTTTCCCTCTTCTCACATCGGGGTAGGAAAGTAGGACAGCGGAAAGGGTGCTCCAGCAGGGAACCAAAAAAATAAAGATTGTGCCTGCACTTCACTCTTCCTTCCTGTTCTTTCTTTCTAACCCTACAGATTGAAATTGCTCAGAAGCATCCTAGTCTCTATGCAGTTCCAATCAAAACACCCAAGCCAGATGCCAGCCTGGCACAGCACACAAGGTAAGGGCTCCCCGACAGGGTAGCTGCCAAGAGGGGGCTTCTCTAACATTTGGACTTGAGGAAAGAACTTTCTTTGCCTAGATTTTAGATAGGAAGAGCACTTTTTTCCCTTTGGTTGACTGTTTACCTTACCCGTTACATCAGATTTAATTGTAATGATCAAAGAGTCAAATTCATAGTCGTTTCACTTGTGTGCCTGGTATCCTTTGCTAACTTTGGAGCCCAGTTTTGTTAGTAGTGACCAGCATTGTGAGGGTAGCACTCGAGGAAAATCCTAAGGCTTAGACCTATTTTGTCATAAGCTCGTAGCCGAGCCCCTTAGATTCCTTTGTGTTACCCAGTTGTGCCAGCCTGGGTCTGAAGGGACTATGACAAGTGTCATATGGCAGTGTCAGCAAGATGCTGTCTTAGTCACATTTCTTCTTGCTGAGATAAAACGCCTGACACCCAGAAGTTAAAGGAGGAAAGATTTATTTCAGCTTACATTTCATAGAGGTCTTGGTCCAAAATTGGCTGTAAGGCAGGGTGGCATGACGGAGAGGCATCAGAGAGAAGAAACAGTCTTTGGCAAGCAGGGAAGCCAGAGGCAGCAAAGCAGCAGCAGCCGCAAATGATGCAGCAGCCCTCTGTCTGTCCCTTGTACTCTGTCCGGGCTACCCACCCTTAGGGGTAGCACTCACACCTGGGGTGGGCACCCTTGATCCTAGCATGCACGGTGTACCCCAGCCTCACATCCTTAATCCTATCATCACACACCTTCGATCTGCCCATCTCTGACCTCATGAGGCTTTGGGGCAGTGTGGATATGTAAGCCACAACTGATGCCGTCTACATAAAAGGCTGCCCGGGCAGTAGGGATTATCCCAGTGTCTTTCTGTTGCAGTTTTATTTATTTTTTGTTTTGTTTTGTTTTTTGTTTTTTTCTTTTTTGAGACAGGGTCTCACTATGTAATTCAGACTGCCCTGGAAGAACTCACTATGTAGTCCAGGCTGGTTTCGAACTCACAGTGATCCCCCTGCCTCAGCCTCCTGAGTGCTGGGATTATAGGCATGCGCCACCATGCCCGGCTTTCTGTTGCAGTTTTACATTCAATTGTTTCCAGCTTCTGAGAATAGAAAAAAAATTAATAAATCACATTTTTTTACAGCCACTGTGTCTGAAAACAAAGTTTTTATTTTATGGCAGTAGGAAACCAGAAACAAATTTTTCTTTACCAGTTGAAGAGTAACAGTTGATGAGGTTGCCTGTGGCAGCGAAGAGGCCTTGGAATTACTAACACTGGCTGAACACTCACTCCCTGGCTGTCACCAGGGAACTAGGGGTGGGGACGGCGCCCTCTGTCCAGTTCTTAGCTAGAATCACTTGGTTGGCTTCCTTACTCACTGCTCGAATAGGCCTTGGCCTTGACCCGTTTCCCATCCCGCCCTGCCGTTTTGTGGACCTGCAGTGAGACTGGGAGTGGCCGGGTCACTTGGCACTGTGCTCAGAGGTCGTCGTGACCAGCATTGGCTGTTGTCGGCTGAGCTCATAGCTTCCCCTCTATGGGCAGCTGGAGGCTGTGACATCCTGGGACGTGTGTAACCCGTCACTTTGTTAGTTCCAGACCCCCCGAGCCGCAGAAAGGCCCCTCCAGACCCTATCAGAATATGCAAGGAAATTACGGAAGTGACGCGGAGGAGGAGGAGTACCGCCAGCAGCTGGCAGAGCACTCAAAGCGCGGCTACTATAGCCAGCCAGCCAGGTACCGGGACACCGAGCTGTAGGGATGCGAGCGCGGACTCTTCCGGGCCTGTCTGCTGCCGCGTCAGACCCCGTGAGGCCCGGGGATGGTCCATCCCCAGCAGACAGGCCCTATGGTGGCGTGGTGGAAGCGGAACTCGGTGTTCTTCTGGGGACCCAGGTGCCAGCCAGCGCACATAGAGAACTAAGATTCTCTGTGGAACTAGGATAGAGAAGTTTATTATGGCTTTGTGCTCAGAATTGGGAGGAACGCTACAGTCTGATATTGTTACTTGCTTCAGTGGACCAAAATCTGTATTAGTGCCGTTGCTGTGTTTTTAATATGTATATTGAGAAGCGATACGTTTTCCCTCATTTGTAGCTGCCTTCAAGGACAGCTTCAGTGTGAGGCAGAATGTGAAAAACAGAGTAAAATATACTGTTTGGTTCAAACTAAATTTAAAGTATTTTATTATAAAGTGCCTTTGATAAGAAGTGTCTTAAATTCTCCTTTAAAGCTTTATGCAAAGCCATAATGGACTAAAACTTTATCTTGGCTGCATTTTTTATACCATTTTAATAGCTATGATTTTCCTCCTGCACGTCCTATCATCTTTTTAAAGTGTTCATCTTTGTAATATTTTCTATGAATTCTGATTGTACATATAATGGCTATGCTGGGTAGTTTGGCTGTAAAGTACTAAAAAGCTTGAAGGCCAAGAAGTTGGTATGGAAATGTATTTGTTTAAAATCATGTGCTCCACAAAAGAAGATAGTTGAGAAAAACATATTTAATTCCACAAGTGTGTGTGTTGATGGCCATCAGTTTTATAGTTTAATAAAAAGGAGGAGTACATTGTAATCGATAATTTGCTTGTGGTGAATTTGCACACACACATACACACCGTGCTGCGGATTGGACTCAAGGTATCAAGATCGGTAAGCAAGTACTCTACTAGTGAACTATATCCTCAACCTATGTTTAAGTGCAACTTTCATTTCCATTACTGATCATACAAGTAAAAACTTGTTCATTGTTGAACATTGTAAAATGGAGCCACATACAAAAAACAAAATAAAGGCTACTTATAATCCTGCATTTGGATTGTTTTTATCCATTTCCTCCAGGTATGTATGTGTAGATACCTGTGTAAGGTACTTGAGATCATACTATATTTGCAATTCTGTTACATACTTTTTCTAATTAGGTCTATCGAGAATACTTTCTTAGGGGCAGGGATTTAGCTTCATGGCTCTGTACCTGCCTCGCGAGCACAAGGTCCTGAGTTCAATCCCCAGTACCCCTCAAAAAAAAAACAAACCAAGAATTCTTTCCTTACATAGTTAAAATGCCAAGTGTACATCATTACTAATAACTGCAGAATAATACATCCTGATTGCTGTTTACATGAATAGTTTCTTTATTGTTGGCTGTTTAGATCATTTTCTGCCACTTTTATAGGAAATGAGCTTCTCTATATACAATCCATATTTTGTGTATTAGTGATCAGTATTTAAGTCCTTTTCTTCAGGCACAACCTCAGATGTATAGTTACTAACAGCATATGAACCTTTTTTGTGCCCTTGATACTTATTTATTACCAAATTGCTATCTAGAAAATTCACATCAGTTTCTACTCCAGTGTTCCCTCTTGAAAGATTGAAACAGGTTTAAAATTTAAAGAAGACAATTTAGGAATTTAAGCTTATGTGAATCAAAAGTAGACTGAATCTGGGAAAGGAGGAGAAAGGAGTCCTGGTTCCATTAAGGCTCTCTTAGAGTGTGAATGGACACAGAGGTGTTAAGCTTGTATTGCAGTAGGTAGAAATTTGGTTCACTGATAACTGAGTCACAGTTAGTATAGAACATGCCCTGGGCTGTACCTCTATCAATGTGGAGGCCAAAATTCCCAAACCTTTTAGTGCTGTATCTTGAATTGCTGAGCTGTACTCACGGTACTGACTAAAAGTTACATATCTCATCAATAAAAGCCATCTTGTAGGAATAGAAGAAAACATGCCCTAGTAAAGTATGTGATGACTTAATTTGCTTGTGTCCTTTACATACAGGACTAAGCCCTTTTGCAAATCCAGGGAGGCATGGGGAAGAGGCTCCTCAGCAAGAGCTAGGCTGTTACCTGGCTCCAGCAGTTTCGTGATGCATTAAATGGTGCAGTCAGGCAGGGCTTCTGTTCCCAAGTGCCCCACATGTGCCCCATCATCACTGTACCTTTCCCACCCCTTTTTTATTGCTGTCTTGCGTTGCTGTGGGAGGGATTTAAAACTGCCTATAATACATAGGAGTAAAATGGGAAAAATGTAAACTAAAAATAGAAGCGAGAAGACCATCAGACTAGAAAAGAAAGGGCTGTGAGTGAGGGTGGTATTCTGGGTGCTGTCGGGTCAGCAGCTCTCCAGAGGCGGGTGTGGAACACAGGATTGCATGGTGCACGTGATTTGATTGAGTCTGTAAGGCGAGTGTGGAAGGAAGGCTGTTCGCGATTTTCTCCCTTCCTGCATTGTATTTATTCTTTGGGGTTGAATATGGTAGCTGCATACTTGGAAGGATGATTCTGGAGGTCTTTTTCTGCCTTTGTTTTTTATGTACAGCAATAAATAGCAGTGTTCCAAGGGCCACTGAGTAAAAGTTCTCAGGAAAGGACCAAAAACGGCGGCAGTGTAGAAGCACCACTCTGCAGTCTGGATTTATCCAGAGGTCTCCTCTGGAGGGCCTGGGGCCAGTGGCTGTAGAATAGGACTATGACATGCGACATGCCTGATATCCCAAGGCAAGTATGTCAGTCATCTCTCAGCAAAATCCACTTTGCCCACAGGCTAGTGGAGGACCGTGTCACTTTCACACAGGAGGTAGGTGATGTGGAATACAAGCCTCAGGCGTTTGCAGGAATAAAAGAGTTAAGTTTTGCATATGAACAGACTTCTGGGGCACATTCTTATCGTCCCTCCTATACCTTCCAGATGGCAGGCATAAGAAGCACACTCACCTCTTCATAGAGCCGTTTAGAGAACCCCATCTAATGAGGTTTTTTGAGGTGAAATTGTACAGCCTCTCAGATGTACAAAGTAGCTTGGCAGCAACCAAAGCCACATTCGGGACCAGAGATCTGATAAACCCAGAATGTGTTACGCAAGGCCCATTCCAGCTGACCGTGAAGGGACCAGTACACAGAGGCTCCTTGGGATCCCCGGAGAGGCAGCCACGGGCCATCACCAGATAGCACAACATTCCATAGAGGGGCAGTGTGAAGGAAAGGTTCATCCTTGAGAGGCCAGAGAGGTAGTCTTAACTGTGAAAGAATTCTCAGGATATGTAAGGAGAGGAGGAAAATTATCTCTCGTTGGGGTCCTGCAGTGACCCAACAGGGTGAGCTGCTGTTATCATTACGGTGTTATCATTATGCTTTGTCCCTAAACCCAGATGAAGTGAATCTTCAGTGCACATTTTTCATAGTAGCTTATTAGTTTACCCATCTACTTTGTGTTAACTACCGTCTGTGTGCAGGCTAAGGATCTCCGTAGCCTTCCCTCAGCTGCCTCCCATCCCAAAATTTTCCTGGGGAGAAAGAGTTCTTAGGGCAAGAACCTCCTGGTATGGTTGCCTTCTCACTGTTAACTCTGGGAGAAAGGGAGGCCATGGGTCACCAAAAAAGTTGTGGCATTGCTGAGAAGGAAGGGCACCAATCCTAGACCACAGAGGGGAGGCAGTTCCTTAAGAACACCAGCCTAGTGTCACAAGAGCGTGTCCCAGGGATTGCAGCCCGGCTTGCCTGGCTCTGAACATGCCCTCGTCTCCACAGCCCCAAAGACAATGGCTGTGCCTCTGAAGATCTTAGACTAGAACATCAGGTCTTCCCTGGGGCCTGAGTGGTTTATCAAGTCAGGATCACTGGAATTTGGGATCCTCTTGGGCAGAAAGAAGGGGGCCTAGTGGATGACTGGGTTGTAGATCTACAGAGTTCTTCAAGGCCACAGGGCTTTATTTTGTTTTCTATAAAGAGAAGCTCTGAAGGGACATCCTAGACCAAAGCCATAAAAGTTAAGGTTCTCCAGAGAAACAGGATCAGCACTTAAATGATTAATAAAGAGATTCATTTTAAGATTTTAGCATACATGATTGTAGAGGTTTAGTAGTCCAACATCTTCAGTGACCAGCAGAGTGGAGACCCAAGGAGGATGTATAATCCGAGTGCAAAGGCAGTCTGCTGGCAGAATTCCCTCTAGCTAGGGGCAGGTCTGTCTTTGTTCTGTTCAAGCCTTCAGTTGTTTGGATGAGGCCCACTCACCTTTCTGAGGACAGTCTGCCTTAGTGAGTTTGCCACTTTAAATGTTAATCTCATTGAAAAACAAAAACACCTTCACAGAAGTATCCAGAATAAGGTTTGACCAAATACTGGTCACAGTAGCTGAGCCAAGCCAAGTTGACAAAAAATCAACTGTCTCAGTCTGCCTCACCTTTCCCGTGGGGGCCACTTGGGTGGCTGCTCTTGTCCAGTGTTAAAGCATGAATATAAGAATGAATGAACCAGAAAAGGAATCACTTACATAATTTCAGTATATTTTCATGTATATAAATTAAACATGTAATATTTACCCTACATCTACATATATTACATGCTTTTATATACAGTAAATTTATTTTTCAGACAGAGTCTTGCTATGTAGTTCAGGCTGGCCTCAAACTCACTATGTAACTTGGCCCAGCCTTGAACTGACAGCATCGTCCTGCCTCAGCCTCCCAAGTGCTGGGATTATAGGCATGCACCACCATGCCCACCTAGTAAATTTAATTTTTGTGAGTAGAAAAGTTAAAAATCAATAGGTAAAAATAAATGAGATTCCATTAAGTTGAAATTTCATGAATAATATTTAACATTTAAAAATAGTGAAATAAATTTAAAATAAAAGGCTGAATAATGACCTAGTACCCAAGTATGTTTGTGTATATATGGAGAGATAGGATGCATCTTATTTCCAGCTTCCCTTTTACTTTCCTTTAAGTCTCACTTGTATACAGTCAATGGTTTCTTGGTATCCTTGAGGGCTTGTTTCTAGGATCTCCCTTAGCTACCCAAATCTGCAGATGCTCAAGTCCCATATATAAAGTGTTACAGTAATTGCATATAACCTATGTACATCTCACTATACATACTTTAAATCATCTCTGCATTACTTATGATATCTGCTACCGTGGAAATGCTGTTTCCGGAACTGGCTCCCTTTCCCTAATCCTACCTTGCCTGCTGGTGGCTGCATCCAGCATGGATCTGGAGGGACTGCTTTCTCTGTGTGCTCGTGTGAGCTGTAGATAAAGCTATAGAGCCTAGAAGAAAGCTACAAGTTTGAAATAAGAGAATTTTGTTTTTTGTTTAGTTTTGTTTCCTTTTTTTTGCAAGTAAGCCTTAAGTTTTGTTTTGTTTTCTTTCTCTGCTCTGTGTGCGTGTGCGTGTGTGTGTGTGATTTTTCTTTTGTTTTTTTAGTACTGGGGATCACACTCAAGTCTTTGACTTGTGAGGCAGGAGGCAGAACCACTGAGCTAAATCCCCAGCCCTCTCCTGTCCTTTTTTCCATTCTTCTTCACCCGTGTATTGGGGCTTGGGGAGTTTTCTTTTGTCTTTCATCCTTACATCATATCTTCTTTTCCTTTTTTTAAATCTCCCTTTTTCTTTGTTTTTTCCTTTCCTCCCTCCATTTTTCTCTTATTTTTACTTTATATATGTTAATCCAGTTTGTCTTGGATGATACTACTGTTGCTGATTATCTTGATATTACTACACAGTTGTCGTTATTTCTGTGTGAGCCAACACTCTGATTACTTTTTGTGACACTGACAATACTGGAATACATCGCCAGATAACTTGGTTGATGAGCTAATTACATTGCCTCCTCCCCTCCCAAATTAACCAAG